CATTCATGTTCGAAATTTGTGCAGCAAAATTTTTGCCGTTGCTTTGATTTTAACCGACGCTTTGTTTTTGCTTTGATCGATTAACCGCTTTATTTTCAATTCTCAGGTTCTTTGTTATTTTATTATGGTATCTTATGTCGTGGGCGATTTTAGAACGAGGTATCTTTTGGAATGGTATCTTATTGACTGGGATCTTCTCGTTTGGGATCTTAAGGTAAGGGATCTTTTGTCATGTAACCAAAAAATCACGCAGTTAGCAAAAATAGCTCGTGAAATAATAAACACTGTTACCATGCAAACATGAACTTTGAAATGGGGAAATGGAAAAGTGCCAGTGCATTGACAAAAAACTTTCGTCCTGGGTCTGCCAGGACGAAATTCGGAACGGGGAAGCTTGGGGGGGGACTCTCATCGAGTGCCTAAAATACGTAGCGTTTAAAGCGCGTCCATCGTTCAGTCGTTAATGTTAGACAATGAAACTTTGAAATTTCACTAGAAAATTGTAGACTGCGTGCCTGCAAACGGCGGCGTTTAGAAGAAAAGAAGAAGAAGAATTTATTTCTCCATATAGTTGATAATACAAGCATCAATTTATTTAAATTATTAAATTAACAAAATGGAGGGGATAGACAAGAAATTTAGGTAAGAAATTTGACTTAAAGTTGACAATTTATTTTGGCTATCATCAATTTACATAAGCATTTCAGTAAATGTCACAACTAAATGTAATAATTTGGAATCTTGTGTTCAGGTTCTTCCAGCATTCATTATATCTGAGGAAAATCAATGGGACTTCAAAATCAGCTAAAACCCGAACAATCGAATTTCACGAAAGTCGAACAAAACACTTAAATTTTTGCATAACACTTTAATGCTTATCAACAATACCCTTTAATTTCAGTTGACAATTAAAGCTTATTTCAAAAATAACATTCTCAACTTTTCGGTTGAAAACTTCACATTGAATTTTCTAACAACCTCGTTGACATACCAAAACTTTTCAAGGTAACATCTTTTCATCAAGGGTAATTTTGACTTCAGTTTGAATGTAAACACAGGCAAATGGAAACTTAACATGCTACTGTTTGAAAAATTCGGAATGTAGATTGAAATTCCAATTTGATTTGAACCGGAAACGGGATTAATTATTGTTAAACTTGCGTTCAATGAAGCTCTCCAGCAATATTTTTTAGTAAGCTCTTAATTTTTTCAGATCACTTAATCAGTGGATTGTTTCCCAATCATAATTTCGAGAACATGGAAGCCAGAAAAAATGCTGCAATGTTCAAAAATTCTGCACACGCCTTATGTATGTTTAACTTACATCGTACAAACACCGATGGCAACATGACTTAACCCAATTTTAAAAAATGACCAATTATCGACCTGTTTCTGTTGATGCCTGAAGCCTGAAGCCCTATATATCTCAGTTTCCAATTCTCAATTAGGCCTGTATTAGTTATTTTGAATTTGAATTCTCTTTGAGAGGCTACCATACAACAAACTATGTATAAATAAAAACGATTCAAGGACAATTCACGAGCCGAGGACTCTTCACCACTCTTGTAGGACTAAACCTAGCTATCCTAATAACAATTTAGAGAGAAAAAAAAGTAAGAACGAAAAAAACAAACACTACCTGTATAAGTGTCTTCACTGCATTCATTGACACTTGACACGTAATCAATTGGCGATTCTGGTATTTTTCTGGTCAAACCTAGGCAACCCTCCAAACAAAATATATTGATGCAATTCGTTTCATCAATTTCTTCTGATCGTTTATTGATATATTAGCACAGGTAGCAAATCCAAGCTTTCATTTTAGTTCATAAGTGATCCGCTTTTGTCGTAATTTAATGGGTATAGAGTCGACTATTTTAAAAATCTAACACAGGATTCTCTAGGAGCATAAAAATACAATTGCAAAAAAACGATAACCGTGATTCGATAACCCTTAATCGAACGATAAACGAAGTTCGATTTAGGCAAACAAGCCAGACATTTGAATACTAAATAAGCGCAACGAAACAGAACTAACGAAGAGGAAACAAAGCCGACAATGTTTGAGCGGACACAAGTTGAGCCGGAAAAAAAAACTATTTTATAAAAATCTTTGAGGTATTGAGTCCCTCCTGAAACTACAATAAACAACACTTGCACTAGCAACTACAATAAAATTTCCCGTGGGTAAAAAAATCCTTGATGTGTCAACGCAATGGGACAAAACTTACGAAGACAAAACAAAGCCGACAACCTTTGAGAAGACACAAGTTGAGCCGAAAAAAAAACATGATAAAAAAACAGTAAACGTTAAAGTTCCATCTGAAAATACAATAAAAAACGTTTGCACTTGCAATTACAATAAAAACAGCTTACAGAATAAAAAAACCGTGATGTGCCGACTAAGTCGACAACTTGAGCAGACAAACCAAAGTCTGACAAATCAATGTTTATCAAAAAAATTTAATTGCATACATACTGAAAAAAACAAGGTCCCGCCTGGACTCAAACTCCAGACCTTATGGCCCACAGGCAACGGCCTTACCTCTAAGCCCAGTGGGAAGGAATTTACTAGTTGTTATGATACAATATTAAAACAAGTTGAAGATTTGCAAGAAAAGTTGTTTCCGAAAAAAAAAGTATCCCAAGACAAGACACTTGCTCTCGCAAGTGTGAAACATCCTATAAGTGTTGAACGCGTGAGCTCAAAATCGAAAAGATAATTCACGGTGATGATTTCTATTAAATTAAAGGGTGTTAGAAAATTGCTAATTCGGCCAACTTGGTGTAATAAACCCGCGTCATATTTCGCGCTATTAACGCGGAAGTGGCTATTTAATACGGTTGACAAGGATTTCACAAATAAAAGAGGCCTGATGTTTAGTCTGTTTATTATTCATATAGAACTAAGTTCCAACTAATTTTCAAACTTCATAAATTTTTTCAAAGAAAAAACTATATCATCCAAGACTTTGCCCTGATTTGAGCAGTTTTTTTCTCCGTATATCAAAAAGAATGTTGATTTGGTCCAAAGCTTAAATGCTAACAAAGGTCCAGCTTCCCAAAGTCTGCAAAGGGTAAGAATTTTTGTTTAGGACAACATTCCAGCAATTTAGATGCCAATATATCGTGGATGCGGATCTGCTGAAAGTAAAGAGATGTTGTATTGGTTGAATACCTTATTGGAAAAAGAAGCTAATTATCCAGCCCGCGAATATCTCAACGAATATGCATCAACTGATTGAGATGTTTCCGGCCTTTTTTGATATTCAACCAAAACAATTATAATTTCGTTTATCACTTTATCTGCGTTTTAACTTATTTATTGACAGTGACCAATCTAGTTAATTCCTGGAGAAAGAACTTTCCCGTAATCATTTTCCGAATATGATATAAGGACCCTATTTCTCTTAAATTCCTACACCGCATTCGAACTTTTTGAAGAGGGCAATTTTCTCACCAAAACATTGGTTTTCTTCTGCGCACGCTTTCCCTTAAAATTAGTGTTTGAGCACCAGGAAAACTTTAAGAAAATTTTAAGGTCCATCTTCCGAGAATGGATGTAAAATAGTTCCAAAGTGAAGCCCATTTGGGTAATCACAGGGTCGAACCCTTGAGAGGAGTTGGATTTCCCCATTCAGCCTCTCTAGGACTCAAGACCCTAAATGCTTAAAAGGTTTAAATCCGCTACTCCTTACATTTTAAAAACTATCTCCAAAAGTTACGTCAGTTTCATGAGTTCAAGATTCAGCCCCAACGGTTTCTGATCTTTTTCAATCAAAAACTTATAACTAAATACTAGTAAGCTTAAAATTTTGCGCAAATTGGCTGTCAAAAGTTACAAGCTTGGTGTTTTTTTTTCAAGAAGATGTACCATACTGTCGGATGCTTCGGGGGTTAGTAACTTGAACGTAATTTTACACTGGATTGAATTATCAGTTTTTTTCAGTAAGGGTTTTTGAATGGCTTTTTAAGGGACAATTTCCTAGTTGCGGCAATTTAGAAGAAAAGGGCGGAGTGTTCATGCTCGAGGTGAGTTTTGTATTAAGACCAATTTTGACTTCATAATTACTCAAGTTGGATGGAAATTGTTTTCACCCATATGGGAGATGATGCTGTCTTGGACTAAACTATTAAAAGATATTTCACCTGCGACCAGTGTTTGTGAAGTGAGAGATTTTAAAAATTGCCCATTTGGCCAAGTTAAGACAAGTAACGCGCGCTATTGCTCAGTTTCGCTCAATAAAAAAGATCACAATCGGACAATTCGCTCGAAAAGTCAGCCGATTTAAATATCAGACAATTCGGCCATATTTCACATCGAATTTTAAATTAATGCTGAATTATACATTAAACGAAAAATGATTAAAGCGCACTATAAATTTCACGCAGCTGGTCATGCGGTCACTACTTGCCTAAGCCGCTCTACTTGCCTGTAGAAAATATGGCAGAGTTGTCTCTGGCAGAATAATTGTCTGTCTACTTTTGACATTAAAAGTGGAAGGAAAATTTAAAAACGAAAATGTAAACAACTTCAGAATTTTCATTTCATTTAAAAAAAATTTATGGATTTTTTTTGAAACTGCGGCAAATATCTTAACGGGCAGTCTTAAATACCACGATACGAGCAGTCTTGTTTTGAGTGTTCTTCATTTTTGGCAATAAAAAATCCCGCAATCCATACTTAATGTAAGTTTTTATTTAATTTTTTTCAAACTGATATTTAATAGATAATTTTTTGGCTCATTTGTAAACTAGCTTTCAGGAGGGGCTGAAAAAGCAACTTTTTGGTGAAACCTTTGCTGAAAAACAGGAATTTTGGTAAAAACTAGGGTTTCGATCGGAGCTCAAAAAATCGAAATGTCTCAACAAAATTTTTTTTCCAAAGCCTAAAACATCGCTAGCATCCCTTTTGAATATTGCGCGCAGAAATTGCCAATTCTCAGTGATCACACACTATAATCTGACCTATTTCAAGTTTTCTCGGTTAGAAAAAAAACTAAAGACAATTAGAATTCACTAGATACATAAATGTACATTGATATTAAACAATTCAAATGTTTTATTACAAATAAGTTAGGATCAAATTTACAAACATCAATAGAGGAAAATAATTGTTTGCACTTGAAAGAGTTGAACTAATAAAGAATTAACTGAAACTTACTCATTATAACATTAAGTTAGGTGAACATTTTAATATAATGGACACCGATAGTGAGCGAAGTTTCCCTAGATTGAATTAAGAAACGGTTGGTCTTGCATTGAGCACAACCGGGGGCTAATTAAAAAACATTAGGAACAGAAGAAAGTTGAGCCAGTCGAACTGATTTTAAACTTTGGTGTGCATTTTCAGAAAACCAATTTTTATACTTAAAAATAAGCTCTTCTCTTACATTCATTTCGGCCTTTAAGCTGTGAGCACAAACAATTTACCTTGTACTTTTTACTATTGCAAAAAAGGCAAGTAGAAAGATTTCTAAAATAAATGCTATGTATCTATAATTGATATGGCAACTGAAATTAGTAACGAGACACACTGAACAAAGTTTGAATGCAAAGATTGCTGAGCAGTTTATAAGCCCATTTAGATGGCTCAAGAAAGCAAATTTTTCAAAAACTCATTATTGTATCTTATTTACATCATCGTAGCAAAAAGATTGATGAAAAACTGCCTCAGCTAATCCTATTATTTCCTTGAATTCGATGATTATTAAGGCTTTACTGAAGGGTCAGAAATCAGTACTTATTGCTAATTACTATGAGTTTCCTCAAAGCGAAGTTAGTAAAAACTATTTATCTCTAATTTGTTTCCCTGTAGTGTCAAAAGGCAGCATCATTATCGTAATCATAGTTACGACTCCCATCGATACATAGACAGACAGCGCCATGGCAAAGTTAGATTTAGCCAATACTTGAGCTACAAAAGGGGTCATGATCATGCCTATCCTACTACATGAAGTGCCCACACCTATGGCCGTGGCTCTAATATTTGTAGGATACGCTTCACACAGATATAAATACATAGCCTGTACTGTAGCCACAATGAATACTTTACAAAGAGTGATTAAAATTAGCGCCACTATAGGGTTGGGACAGAAAAATAGAAAGAAGGTGACAAAACAATACAAAGCCATACAAGCTAGCATGAGTCTCACTCGTCCAACTATATTCGATAGAGTCATACTAATAAACGCACCAATTATGATATGCACATGGCTGATAAGAATCATTCCATAGTCACTTGAGTCTAAAGAATGGCACGAGGCTCTGCAGTAATTTACTTCATCAGAAGTGAAACAAGTTTCTCGGTCCGAGTCTGTGTTGCTTCGGGCAGCTTGTAGAGACTCCGTGAACAACATTCCCATTCCGAACCCAGTTCCCATGGTGCAAAACCAGAGCACGCATTGACAGATCGTCAACCTCGTCAATTCTTTCGTTGCAAAAAGATTCGCGTATTTGCCTCGCGAGGGCTTTGTGATGGGCTTGACGTCACCGAAAAGAAGATGGGCTCGATTAATTGCTGCCATTTTGGTTAGAATCCACTTGGCTCTACTGGTTTGGCCGCTAACCAACAGATATCTGGGACTTTCGTCCAGAACTAAATATGCAGCTACAAAACACACAAACTGGGGCAGTGAGCAAACTACCACTAAATATCGCCATCCATATTTGGAAATATCAACTAAGAAATAAGCTGCAATTCCTGTGAAAAGAGGCGCCAGTCCTGATAAAACATGGAGAATCAGCATACACTTTGCTCTTTGTTTTGTCTCCACTAGTTCGGCAGCGTAAGTCGGAACTGTATGAATACCTCCGATGCCAAAGCCGCATAGAAGTCTTAGTACAAAATACCAGCCAACTGACGGAGAGAAAGAACTGATGATTCCGTAGTAGCCAGTCCAGATACAAATAGCCAGCAAGATTGGCTTCCGTCCCCAGATATCCGCAATTTTGCCCCACACTAGAGCTCCGAAAAACATTCCGATAAATGGAGCAGTAGTAGTTAAAGCCTCTTGCCAGCCTTTTAAATTCCACTGACACAGTAATTCAGGACCAGTGATGAAGCTAATACTTTCTTCCGCTATTTCGGCAAAATAAGCTAACGCTAAAGTTGCCATCACGCCATATTGATATTTGCCGAAACCAGCGCGTGTTAGCGCCTCGTCAAACCCCAGCTCTTGAAGGGAAAGCTGCCCAGCCTCGAACGGGATTCGAGAGCTGATGGTTAAAGCTCGGCCATCACTAGACATGATTACGTCGGGACTTCTGCCATTTTTACGGCCTCGGCTAACTCAAATTATACTGAAAGTAGAACACCATTTGATCATTGGAAACAAAATAGGCATAATCACGATAATTAATCTATCCGAAATTTCATTTTTGATCATTTCCTGATGTTTTGATCAAATAAATATTTTCGTAGAATGCTTCAAAGCTAATCATGTAAGAGCAATTGAGGTGATACAACTTTACTTGCAAACAACTAGATAAATGAAAACGAAAAACAAAAAGGACAGCCGGTTAATGAACAATTATCACAGAATGTCTCGATCACAAGGATTGAAAGACCTCTGATTTATTTACAGAGCACAATGGCAGTACAGACTCCTCATAATAACGAGCCACTGAGGCAAAGTAAAAAAAAATCCAGCAAACTTCAGCTGTTAAGCCTTTATAAATTCCCCGGAAATTTAGTTTGAAACAATTATTTAAAATACAACCAGCACAAAAATTCTACAAGCTTCCCAAGGCAGCAGAGCTGCGCAAAATAAATTTCAGCCTATGAACTGCATGAATGGCGCCAAATGCACTAGAACTCTGCATTTGATTTATTTTTGAAGACATGAAATTAATCGCTAAAAGATAACATTTCGAGCGAGCAATTTAAGCAGTAGAAGAAACATATGAAATTATTTGACAGCTTAAATTGATTCGCAAAACTTTGGTTATTGGAACAAACAACTATAGCAAAAGAAATTCAAATTATTTTGCTTTGTTATATGAAAACTTGAATTGATTTGCATTAAGATACGTTTTTCGAGCATGGAGTTCCAGCGAAATTAGCAAAATATGTTTGAGCAAGCGAGTCATAGGATCCGAATTAAACTCAACTAGCGTCTAACGCACTTCCGGTGCTGCAAACTGATAAATAAACGTGAAAACAGCTTACATAAAATATATGAAGAAAACCACGAAAGTAACAATACACTGGGGCATCCAACCACGCTTTTGATTTCCGAAATTGGATAATAAACAAAATTCAACCTAAAAGTTCTTTTTAAAGTAAAATGGTGAAATCTTCACACCTGGCTTTCAGATCTTCGAATTTCCAAATCAGAAACAAAACCCTTAAATGACCGACAGCATACAACTGCACCTTCCATATTAAGCAATTTCATTGGCAAAATCACCAAAATTATGAAAGACTCTTGTCTAACTTGCTTCTATCTTTTCGCACAGAGGCAAAGCTTCGCTTCGCAAACACGTGCGAATAAATGACGAAAAGCAGCTATATGAAGTTCAATAATAACAATAAGAAATAAACATCGAATTAGCACAAATTCGGTTACTTCGGAGATTTCCATCCTCCGACCTAGAGATTGAGAGTCTCACACACTAAACGCTCAGCCACGGCCGCTCAATATACCCCAAACACTAGCAACCAGAAAAGCAGAGAACAGATATTATGCAACTTACAATGCTAGTGAAACTTCCAAATAAGTGAACACTTTTAATGAACACTTTTATTTGCGAGATAGGTTAGAAAAAAATAAGGTCCATAATAACACACTAAGGTGATCATCTGTGTAATTAGGCAGTACGTATATCATTTCGCGTCCAGACAATTCGGCCAAAGACAATTCAGCCGCTTTGAAATTCTGACAAATCAGCCAAAAGTATGCAGACAATTCAGCCAATAATAGTGACCGCCGCAGTCGCGCCACCGTGTTGCGAGCTTGCCTACAGAGGGTAGGACCCACCGGCGACCTTAAACAAAGAAATAGCTCCAATTCTGATTTATTTCTTTCGAATCTAGTGTTTTGTAAAACTGGCTGAATTGTCTGTATATTTTTGGCTGAATTGTCTGAATTTCAAATTAGCTGAATTGTTTTTGGCCGAATTGTGTGTGCGCCTATCATTTGCTACCATAAATAGATGAATCCAGCGTAAATAATTTAAAACGATCTGTCATTTTTTCCTAGAATAATTCGAAAGTTTAATTAAAGTTTTTCAATTATCACTAAAAACGTTAGTTTCGAAAATATAAACAAACTGAGCAATAATATTGGAATGGAGGCCACATCTGCAACTGCCGGCGGTGGTAACTTGAATTCATTTCCCTAATGAGTCGTCAATTTCAAAAATGGATTTTTCGAAAAATCATAAGAACGTTATATCTAGGAAAGTGAAGTGCGTTCAGAAGTCATATTTGGAATCAGATATAAAGTTCCTGAGCACCTTGATAACTTTTAATTTCTAATGCTTCCTTTTCTTCAGATCTTATACTCCGTAGAAACACAAAAGATAAACTCTTCCCAGGCACAGCAAACAAGTATGGGAAGAAACATCAAAATATTGAATGCCTTTCTTAAAAACCCGCCGATTTTTTAGACACTCACGGCTATCGGTTTTAATTGGTCAACGCATTGATATGCAGTAATCCTTGAATTATTGTCGTAACCCTCCGGCATTTGTTGATCAAAACATTGAACCAAGGTTCATTTTAAATGTTAACTTCAACAATAAGAAAACCCAACACAAAAATAACAAAGTACTCCAATTTATTACTGCATTTGTATCTCTGGCTTTGGAAGTTCTTTGCGCCTATTAGCATACGTATCAAGGCATATTCGACCGACATGCAAGTGTAGTACATAGGCTAAGGTAAGGCGAAGAATCTACCGTCTATTTAACATGGATATATATTCAGTTTGAAAAACTTAATGCTAAAAATGTATTTTTTGTTCGATCCTTTCAAGTGTATTAATTCTTTTTCATGTATACTTTATTAAAAATTGAGCTTAAAATTCGATGTAGTTACTTTCTTTTAGAAAGAGAGCTTCACTTGAGCTTTGTTCAGTGGATGGCAAAATTCAACACAAACTCAAATTTTTAAAAATCCTGTAGAAAGACTTGATCTTGGTTGCATATACAGTCGTGAGCGCTTCTAGCAAAACAGCAATTGAATAGCGAAAACAAATGCGGGATTGATGAAAAGTTATAGGCTAGAGCACTAAATGGAGATTTCATACATAGATCAACCAATGATATGGTCATTCAGCTAAAAACTTTATAGTGCAAAATATGGGTCTTTATAGTGTTCTAGGAGCGCTCGCTAAATCGATTTGGACGACTTAAAAAAGGACACCATTTTCGAAAATCAGCCCCCCCCCCCATCCGCCCCTGATTGCAGGCCAAATTCGCAAGTTCTGGAGGAACTTTGACAGCATCCCATTTTGGAGTAGCTCATTTTAAACTCGGCGAAATTAAAACTGGAAAATCGAAAAAAAAACTCTCAGCCAGGCGATATACGATATATCTGAAACGTGAAAAATATTCTTTCGTTAAACCTGCAAAAAAAATACGTTGAAAACGCCTGAGTGTGGCTGGATAGTAAAGCCCGTATTTAACACAGAGGCGAAGCCTCGCTACGACAAAAAGCAGCTATCGAAAGTGCAATAAGAAAAAATAAAAATAAGCCTCAAATTAGCAACAATTCGGCTAGGACGAGGATTCGATCTGCGACCTGCTGCAACCAAAAGATTTAGAGTCTCACGCAATAACCACTCAGCTACGCACGCTTACCCTACGACAAAAATAAGTCACGAAAAAAGCAGCTACAGATGCTAATAAATTGCCAATGCCAATCAGCAAAAAGGGCAATAAATACAAATAGACACAATTTTGCAAGTAATAATTTGGAGTATAACAAAATGAAGGCATCCACACTAACTTTGCATGTAACAAATTGCGATGCATAAAGCCACATTATGTATAAGAAATGTATTTCAACAAGTTGCGAGATATTTTGAGTTAGAAACTTTCAGAAATTGAGTTGTGTTGTTTGAAAAAAATAGCTTTTTTCGGTTCAGTTGAAGAAATAAAAATGCATCAACTGTGTTAATTTATTACAATTCGAATCTCAAAGCACATGCTATCAAAAAGCTGTTACGGTGCCCCAAAAGTGGCACCAATATTTAGAAAAAAGACGGTTCTGAATGATACACTAAGCCGACGCTAGAGTAAATATAAAATATATAGATAGACTATTTAGATATGTTTTGAGGCTATTTCCACTTTTTCTAAGTGTCACTTCATCACAAGCAAAAATGACAATTTGTACTAAAATCTCGTCTAAATTCTGATTGATAAACATCATCTAATTTATTTGTCGTCTCATTTCCTATCCTTTGAAAATGTGTCATCTAAAATTTATCATCTTATCAACCTAAGATACCCGCGCAGAAAGTGGAGTGCGATAATGTTTCGTCTTTCTTTTATACTGATTATTTCGAAAATAATGATTATGTTGTTTGCGCAACCAATGACCACGGGTGACCTTTCTCCAAAGACAGTTGACCCATACAACTGCTATGCATCCACGCAAAGCGCATAATGCATGGCCAGTAGATCTTAACATGCTTTTCCAAAAAAGATCCCATCATGGCTGGCCAAGTTCATGTCTGTGCAATTTCACACAAAACCAAATTCATTAGTTTAAAATTGCAATTAAATCCTAAGGAAAATTAGCTTCAACTTTGAGCTACCGGTGAAAATCACAATTAATCTGGGTTAAAAAATGAATACTACAAAAAATAAATTCATGTCATCAATCAAGCTCAAACAGATATCTGATATGATCAAGGATAAAATATATAGAAATGTACTTCATTTTTACATAATTACAGAACAAAATGATGAGCTGCGTTGAACTGGAAGGTGTTTTTGGCTAAAAACTAAGACAATTTGTAAGTAAAAGCCAAACATATTCATCATGTCTTTTTTGTATCACGATATTCATGATTTTGATTTAGTTCAGAAGTGCAAATTGCTCTTCATGTAAAAATCTATTAAAGCCAAAAACGTGTAAATTAAAAGCGGCAAATCTTTTATTTCCTAAAAACTAATATCTTCAAGATCTTGAGTCATGAGACTTGGTCCCATTTTTTTTAGAAAAGTAAAATAAATCACTCATTAATATTTACGGAACAAATTCAGCTTATCAAAATAATCAATATTTTATCAGCTTAGACCCGCTTCTCTTGGTTCGTGAAAACTAATGTCTACTTTAAGATACTGGAAACTCGACCTGAGTTTTAGAATTACAAACTTAATCACGCCGTATTAATTAGGGCATGACTTCAACTAACCAAAATAATCCATACCATCTCTGATTTAAGTTTTAACTCTTTTGGTTAGTAAAATCTAATATTTGATAAACAATCATGAGAGAAAATTTATAGTTTCGTTAAATACAAAACTTGTGCAACGTCAGATAGGTCGACATATTTACTCACAGAATTCTCTTCTCTATCTTCTTCGCCAGCTTGGGGGGCATTTCTGGGTGCTTTTGTAGTTGAACCAGGAAATCATTAGTCTTCTTCAAATCGTGGCGATATTTGGTGACCTCTTCTTTCAAGCTGTTGACCTCATCCTGCAGAGTGCTTTTCTCTTCCCCAAGATTGTGTTCAACTTTTTTCTTTTTCATCCGGTGAACTCGGCAAGCCAAGTTGTTCCGTTTCTTTTTCAGTTCCTCGACGTCATGGTTTGGGTCGCTCTCTATCAGATCAATTTCAATCTTCAAATCTTCAATACTCGTTGGGGTCGTCGAATCTTTAGTTCGCTTTCGAGACCCTGTTGTTATTGGTGGGCTGTTAATGAGCAATTTTTTCACACCAGAGCATATCTCAGCAGTTTTTTCTCCAGGACTCGGCAAACTATGGACTGGTCGTTTTGCACTTTTCGGTAGCAGACATTCCGCATTTGGAAGTAGTACCTGCTTCGAATATTCAAATCCAGATTCCTCGATGACTACATGTTCCACCTCTCGTGGGTAGTCAAAATTTTGGGGTGCAAATTGAACTTCCGTATTTATGTAGGTATTCATGTAACCTTCTGTTGCATTAAACTCAGTTTGAAAGCAAGAAGGCATAGATTGGTGGAATGCATTTTCATTTCCATGAGATTGGGACTCATATTGAACAGCATCCGGAGGTGGTAGCAAATTAGTAAACACCTGTCCAGTCTCATTAATGTGTTGAACACTTTGCTGCGGTTGCATTTTAGCAGCATCATCGACATGCCGATCTCGATCACTTTCTTTTGCCTTTTTGAGCTGCTCCTCGAATACTTGCAAAGCATACTGCTCATCGCTGGTGTACTGATCACTTGGCTGTTCCTCCAGCGAGCCACTAAACTCAACTACGCCTTCCATTTATCTGGAAAAAAAAACATACCAAGTGAGGCAAACATTACTATCTATTGTTCGGTTTTCATCTAGTGCTACTCCATCTACTGATAAACATGGTGAATTCCCATAGGTTCCAATAATCATAGGTTCCAGAATAAAAAATCAGTCGCATAAGTTCCAATATGTATCTTCTTGAATTCTGATTGGTTGAAATTTGAGCCAACGAAGTTATGGATTGATAGTTTACTGTTCAACCAGCATAAACTCAAGCTGCAGAATAGTGACCGCCGCAGCCGCGCCAACGAGTTGCGAGCTTGCCACCAAAGGGTAGGACTCTACGAAATTTAGGGCCGGTTATCGCAGCCAAGCGGCGACCTTAAACCGAGACTCGGCTAATTTAGTCTTTTGACCAATTGAAAAGATTTGGAACTTATGCGACTGATTTTTTTTGGAACCTAAGGAACTGATTTTTTATTTTGGAACCTATGAATACCCACCCTAAACATAAATAAACTGACCGGACTGTCCGGGGAGTATGTGACATTCGACCAGAATGGACAAAATGCAATCTCTGCAGGTTTCGAGTTTTAGCAGTGAACCTTCCGAGTTAATGATTTTGAAGGATTAACGACGTTATTCGGATGATTAGCAGAACGGTGAAGGTCAGGATATTCCCGTATTTTAAAATTTTATTTTTTCGAAGTGATGACGTAACATTTCTGAGAAACGTCAGAAACGGCCATTTTGGCAAGAGAGCTAAAAAGTAAGAGAACAACATTAGTTGCGATTGCAAGAAGAACGAAAATTGTGATAGAAAAACGACAACGAATCACGGAATTGACAGAGAATGTTCCGAGTTGCAACTATTGTGTCGCTACAATAGTTGCAAGGCCGTTGCGAGCAACGGTGAAGGGTGGAAGACAGCCTTCCGGGTTACGGAGAAGTCAAGTTTAACGTGCTTGATTCAGTGGATTCAAGAATCCGGGAGGGTTTCGTGACTGAAACTTTTATCCTTTTACATAAACTTTTAGCTTCCTGTCATGTCCTGAATTGAATTTAATTAACAACTGGATTCATTTTGATAAGGATGAGAAGCTAGGAGTTGGGGGAAAGGGTTGATCCATCTTCGATGGAGATGATGATTTTTATCTACTGAACAAAAACAATAATAATTCAATAAATAGTAATAGCCCTGTTTTTAGGAGTGACCTCGTGGTCTGGGGATACTGAGACCCAGCCATGAGCTCACTATTTCTGCATGTAATTAAGTTGATTTGAGTGTTTTGACCGAAGCCGAAAGCAGTAACGTTTTTTGTCGACCCGATGTTAGAAAAGACCACCGAAAGTACGGACTTGGTAGAGACGGTGAAAAGCATATAAAGCTCTGTTTAGACTTTAGCCAGTCGTCTTAGGACTTAGTTTTGTTTTCCGTCGATATGTATCTTCCGGGCGAATGTTACATACATGTTTTTATGGCGCTCCTGGGTGTTATTCTTTTTTAACATCATGACCGGCAGAACCGTTAACGAGCACTCCGCGCCGAGCGGATGCTCACTTTAACGCCCTTAATAGGTCTAAACCGCCGGAGCGGAAGGGTAGTTCGGAACGCGGAAGCCTTCCGGATTACCGTGAATAGCTTTTTAACTTAGTTAAGACCGAAAATTCACGAACCACGGCAAGGTGGGGGGATCGGCCATTCCCTCGTTCCTTGAGAGGTTTGTGACCAAAAACACTTAAAGATATATATAAAACCAAACAAAAAATAGTATAGTACCCAAGAAAAACAAAAAATATAAAAAATATCCGAAAAAACCAAAAACAGTAAAAAAGTAAAAAATCAGTAGAAGTCATCCCCCCAGACAAGATGTGATCCGACCCCCCCGTTGTTGTTGATAGATATATTGTTGTTACAGGCATTTATATCAGTCAGGATTTTTACGATCAATTTTGTAGCCTGTTTGTGAGGCTTGTACTGTAGGGTTATTTGAGCATTTAAGCACGTTAATGATAAATTGCGCTCAATCCGGAAGGGTCAGCTGATTTGCGCTCAAATCGGAAGGGTCTTGGGAGAAGACTGATCCGGCAAGCAGTACAAGGAGCAAAAAGAAGGCGCTCAACGACAACAATAATCGACTGATGGGTATCGTTAACAAGTTTTGTATCCCTTTTGGTACGAAAAGTAATATAGTAATCTGTGGGGGGCTCGACAGTGCTGCACTGTAGTGACCCTTCACCGAAGTGCGAATATCCGAGTTAAGCACCTTAATTCGGATATTAAACAAACCCGGAGGGGTATACTGTTACTAATATTATTTTTGGTATAGCTTATATTAATACTCTTATACCGTTTTTCAGTGAAAAACACAGAAAGCAGACCGGTTTTTAGGGTCAAAATAGCGATATTTTGATCCACCCACAAGTCGCGATTTTTGAGATATCGATATTTTTTGAAACGGAAAAAAGCGCTAAATTAGTGTGTTACATCGTAACTGCACTACCATAATAGATAGAACCGGTTAAGTTTAGTTCGAAAGTGGTTGCAACTATTTTGGTACCAAAAACCGAAATTTCGTGATTTTTGAGAAAACGAAACCCTATAAATTCAGAAACTTTTTTGAAATTTTTGAGTTAGAACAGTAAAAATAGTTTTTCGGACAACTTCCACTAATGAATCTATAAGTTTTAAAACCCGCTACCCGAAAGCCTTCCGGGTTGCAGAGAAATCGAACTTAACGTGTTTGATTTGGTGGATTCATCAATCCGGAGGGGTACAGGTAGCATAGTTTTTCGCAAATTTTTTCAAGTAAAGCGTTTTAGATCGGGTCTTTTGAATTGAACTAGAAAAGCATAGGCCTTCTGAGCTCGGATCAATAATTTTTAGGTCGAAAGGACCAGAACTGCGGAAAAAGTTAGGCGGAACCTATAAGAGAGAAATTTCTTGACGTTTTGGTTAATAACTTTGCAACTACTAGGCATATCGAGTTGATCTTGGTACCAATAGATCAGAAATTAGCTGGACTTTCTGATAAAGACAAAAGTTTTTCGGAAAAGTAAGCGTGAAAATTTTTTGAGATTGTTTTTAGCAAATTCCTCAATTTGGAAGGGTACACCCTTCACGTTTTGTAAACTTCTTTTAGAAAAGCCCTTATACCCCTACCAAAAGGTAATAGCGGTTGAATAAAGTAACTTTAGGCTGTTCTAGACGAAAAGGGAAAGCTAAAGGCTCAGCAAAACCTTATTCGAGCCGAAGTTAGGCGAGCGATAAGACCCTTCACCGTTAGTGTGAATTGTCAAATAAGAGGCTTAACTTCAATCCGGAAGGGTCTAGGAAAGTAGTACATAGCCTTCCTAGTTAATTGAAAAAGCAAAATTGCATCGGAAAACGTATCCGGAGGGGTATAGGTTGAAAGAAGGAAATCTCCGAAAAGCTACTTTTACAAAACCGGAGGGCTCCCAATCCGGAGGGGTCAAAATTTTTATTTTCCAATTAGGAGGGGTCCGAATCCGGAGGGGTCTTATAGTTGCTAATTCGGAGGGGTCCAAATCCGGAGGGGTCTTATATCAACTAACTCAGAGGGGTCCCAATCCGGAGGGGTCTAGATTTAGTTAGTCCGGAAAGGTCCTATTTGTGCCAATCCGGAGGGGTATTATTTTATTAAAGGACTTAGGTAGACGGAAGAAAGACTAAAGGGGAGAGGTATTAGGTTTTTAGCAGACAGGCTAGGAATCAGTGACTGCACTGGTACTTTGCCTTTCAATAAGAACCAGACCAAAACAAAACAGGTCCGAACTCGGATATTCGCGACACTAAGTCTAAACTAAAAAGAGCGTAATTCATTGGTGTGGATTGAAACCGAATACGTTTTTGTGAAAAGTGACTACCCTGAGGATTTTAGTAGGTCTAGCTCGGGCAGTCTGAAGGCAGATAGGTAAAACAGTTCTCGGTGGGTGCAATAGACGCCCACTTGAGAAAATTACTGCCTTCAAAGTTTTGTCTGTTTGGTGCAGCACCAAGCAGGGAAAGCTTTTTCTTTAAAAAAACAAGTTCGACTATTGTACTGCGACCGACTAAAAGTACAGGACACATACGTTTTTTTTATAGAGATATTCATATTCTGTCATTATATATATTTTTTTGTTTTTGATTTTAAATCAACATAAACTGTGCTTGATTGGGTAGTGAGTACACTATCTTTTAAATTGACTGATAACATCATATTGTGCTATTTTCCAAATCTTACGACCGATAATCGGTTATTGTGAATAAATTATATACAAACTGTACTCTGACAACATACAAGGATTCGTGGTCACTATTTTATAGAATCTTGTGAAATTTATTGTGTTGTGTCATTATTATAGGTAGTCAAAGGGGCAACTAGAAGATCTCCGACAGACAACACTATGATGGCAGGCGGAACTGAGAAACAAACAACGTCATCATCGTTCTCAGAAAGAATGAGGAACACCTTAGGAAACATCTTTCCATTCACCATGGGAGGGGGCGCAGGAAATGAAGGTGAATCCCAGGAGGAGGAGGACAAGGAAGAGCAAGGGGACTTTGGGTCTCAAGTCAGCCTCAATAGTTCGACCCAGGAGAATGAAGCATATGTCGGAAGAGAGACTGGAACAATGGACAAATTTGGTGTGGTGACAACGATAAGCAAAGAAGCAAACACACCGGGCCAGTCGAGAGGCTTCGCGATTATGACAAATTCAGAGCCGCAAACTGGAGAGAGTAGAAACAGAGGGCTAGGCAACGCATTGGCGAATCCTGAGGGGGATAATGAAAAGACGTCGAGGCAGAGAGTCAAGGCCCGGATCTCGACCAGCACGAAGCTACCTGGGACCGACAGGGTTACACCGCCACTAGTGACGCCCCTCGTGGATAACGGGGCAGCACTAGAAGAATCCTTAAACAACATAGTGGACATTTTAGGAGAACAAAATGAACAGATGTCCATAAGAATGAGTGAACTAGAAAGGGCAGTTCACATTGAGAGAGAAAGTCTGCGGGAAGAAATAAATCGCAA